AAATGATGTCTCTTTTGGTAGATTCTGTAAGGACTGTGTAGAGTCTCTTGTAGCTTCATGGTTCCCACTATCTTTGATATCTCATGAAAAGTATCTCATGAACTTTGGGGTGCCGTGTTTCTGGTCCTGAGCTCATCTGCACCCGCCCTGATGAAAAAATCAAAACAAATACTAAAAAAATTCTAAAAAAATAAATTTTTTGTGTGGTAGATAAGTTTATGCGTGAGATGCGCTCCAAGTTTAAACTCATTTGGACATCTGAGCAACTCTCAGCAACAAATTCAACGTTTGTAAAAAAGTTTACTGTTCACACACTGTTCTGACCCGATTTGTTTTTTTTTTGCCGAGATCTGCTCAGATGTCTAAATAAGTTGAAATTTGGAGCGAACCTCACGCATAAACTTGTCTGTCACACAAAAGAAATTGGATATTTTTGAATTCTTTTAGTATTTATTTTGATTTTTTTTGACTGGGTGCAGATGAGCCTAGGCACCGAATTGGGTTTTCACTTTGCTAATTGCTATGTTTGCATGTCTCTTCCTGAACTCTAAAGTGAGAGCTTAAAGCTGCGTACAAGTTGGTTCATACCTTTTTTTTCTTGATAATCTCATGGCATGTCACTTGTCGACCCACCATCGGCACAACCACTTCTGGCGGTCGGCCGGGCTCAGTACTCGCCCAGCAGCTCGTCGGTTCGCTGCTGCCGGTCATCAAATGTGATCACTGCCCACGACTGTCGTTGCGCAGCTTTTCGAGCACACCGAAACATACCGAATGGGTGTTTTTCAAGTGCGAAAAAGGACAAAGTGGGTGCCATTTTGTATGGTTGTTCGTCGGATTCGTCGCAATTTGGAACTCATTGTTTGCTCAAAATTATATGTAAAATCAAATTTTGGTATTGAGAAGAAGAATACATTGATCTATTGATAGTGAGAAATTTGCTAGATATCGGTGCACTACTTGCTAGAGATGAGACTAGAGAGGAGGCAATGTCCAAATAATCCAAATAAGAAGAAGCAGGGAACAAAGAAGTGTGCAAACTCGAGAAGCCAATAGAAAACAACAACAATATAGGCAATGAAGACATAGAGAAAAAATTGATCGGAGTAGTAGAAGCAGCTATGGAAGTTGTTTTTCTATTAATGTGTGTAATTTTTCTTATAGGTTTTCTTTGGATCGGTTCTCTTAGCAAAAAAGTGATGAAGTATGTGACCAAGATGTTGTTTAATACAATAATACAGTAGTGCAGTTTAAGGCGGTGGCACAAAAATGAATTTGACAAAAGAAACTCCTTTAAGTGTAAGGACAGTTAGAAACGATTTTTGTAAGGAGCAAATATGATCCTTTAAAGGATACTCGGCTGTGTCCTCCTCCTTTAAATTTTCGAAAACACTAAAAATCTGATGTTGGAGTTTTAATCATGACAAATCTAACTTTTTTATGACAATATATATATTTGGCACGATTATGACAAATTTAGTGTGCAAGCACATCAATTTTCTGACAAAAAAAGAACTGAGACGGATTTGCCATGCTCACCAACTAAATCTGCTATCCTGAGAGAACAAATTTGCCATGTAAAACATTTGATCAAATGTCTAACATTAGATTTGTAGTGGAGTTCTAAAATCGGTTAGAGTTGCTCTTAGAAGAATAGAGATGGTCCAGTCTACAAAAAACTAGACTAAAAAAAATAATCTAACATTGCCCTGTTAATTAGGAAAAACCAAGTGAACCCCTCCCTCCAAAAAAAGAAACATAGAAAACAGGAAGAAAGTAAAAACTAGAGGTTGGGGATAGGGAGTAGGAGAAGACATACCGATCATTAATTCATTCAATGTCTAGTTGATCTATCACTGTATTTGTACTCCCTTCGGTCCTAAAGTTAGTACAGAGTTGAGTCATCTATTTTGAAACGGAGGGAGTATATGTGTCGCTGTAAGCCCAAAGGTTTTCCTTGTTTATTTTGGCAATATTACTGTTGTTGCACTGACCCACAGTGCAAGTGTCGTTTATCATGGTACCGACAGTTAGTCTTTCTAACTGGGAGAAAGTCGGTACTATTTGGGTGGCCCAAGTCCATGGCACGAGGCTTGTGCTCACCGATGTCTCACATGGACGTGGTCCTTTTACTCCTCTGTATTACCAAAGTGTTGTGGAGCTCGCAGAGTAGGACATGTTTAACCTAACCTTGGTGGTCGTTCAAGTCAAACGAGGCGGTCATTCCGTTGCCTTGAACCAAAGCAACGCCTCTAACTCTTCGCATCACTTCAGTTAGCAGTGATATGAAACCGACATTGAAGTGATTATTTAGGAGTATTTGACAAAAAACTACCACATTTTACGTTATCGTTCCATAGAACTATCACATTTTAAAAACTGACAAAAACTCCAGATTAGTGCTAATTTCGTGACAAAAAACTACCAGGTCGGGTTGAAGACAGATTTAACCAGTTTAAACGCCTTTCTGACAGATCCGGCCCACCGGTCAGAACGGCGGCCGTGCTAACGGCTAATGACGCTCGCCTGCCACCCGTTAGCCACGCGCGTCGGTCGGACCCGGTCGGGCCAGGACTAACCTGGCCGACCGGCTCGCTCGTCGTCCTTCCCCCTCACTCTCCTCCGAGCTCCTGTTCTAGCCCTAGCCGTCTTCGTTCATGGCGGCGGCGGATCCAACTCCGGTGCCGAATCGCTTGAAGGAGCCCCCCCCCCGACGTGGTGGGCGAAGGGGATGCCGTCTTCCTTGAGGTTAATAACTGGCTAGGCAGCAGTAGCTTTGCGGTCGAACACCATTCACAGCCTCAATCTCAGCTGTCCCAGACGTTTGTGAGGCGTCGTGTAGCATCGTCGAGAGCGTCGACGAGAAGAAGCGCACCTCGAGGCCGGCGCAAGCTTCCTTGTCCTGCTGGCGGCGCGAGGTATGGCAACAGATTTGTAATGGTTTTTCTGAAATGGTGTTTGTTTTGTTAATAATCATGATATATAGGCTAGTTGCATAGTTAGATTTACATTAGAACCATGTTTGAGCAGAATGGGAATTGAAATCTGTTGGGAACATTAACAATTTGTTGTGCTGTGACCGAATCCAAATTGTCAGAAAACAGGAAATCTGAACTGCCAGACACTAAATATTGTGTAGACCATTTAATTGTAAATTTTCTAATTTGTGGTGCAGTATTGATGGCCCAAAGTGGGAAATTTGGTTCCATTTCTTAGCCAGAGATTCTGTGGTTAGAGGAATTTACCAGTCGGACATATCATTTTTGACTATGGTTTCTCTTATTCAGAGTGAGGGCTCTGGAGCTGATGATTATATGTACTATCTTCTTGATGAGGAGAAAGGAATAGAAGGTATGGAGCATCTTGATTTTGAACATGATGTGCAGCACATGTTGATCCACTTTGAGAAGGAAAAGAGTGTGAACATACGAGTTGTCAGAGCAGATGAGCCATGTAATGCAAATGAAAATAGAGATAGTTATTTCGCAGAACATTGCATTAACATTCAACAAAAGTTGCACAAAGTTGGTGGATGCAATCAGTGACAGAAAGGATGAGCTTAAGAAAAGTAGTCTGTAAATGGAAGCTGACCTTAACCATTTTGAAGGTGACACTGATGTGTCTGAATTTCTTTCTGATGATGCACAGTCAGGTTCAGATGACAACAATATGCAATTACATCCAGGTTCCCCCTCTGAAGAAGCTGAAGAAGAGGCTGCAGAAGTAGATGAAGGAAATATGCCCTAGAGGCAATAATAAAGTTGTTATTTATATTTCCTTATATCATGATAAGTATTTATTATTCATGCTAGAATTGTATTAACCGGAAACTTAGTACATGTGTGAATACATAGACAAACAAAGTGTCACTAGTATGTCTCTACTTGACTAGCTCGTTGAATCAAAGATGGTCGTGTTTCCTAACCATGGACATGAGTTGTCATTTGATTAACGGGATCACATCATTAGAGAATGATGAGATTGACTTGACCCATTCCGTTAGCTTACCACTTGATCGTTTATTTTGTTGTTATTGCTTTCTTCATGACTTATACATATTCCTATGACTATGGATTATGCAACTCCTGAATACCGGAGGAACACTTTGTGTGCTACCAAATGTCACAACGTAACTGGGTGATTATAAAGGTGCTCTACAGATGTCTCCGATGGTGCTTGTTGAGTTGTCATAGATCAAGATTAGGATTTTTCACTCCGATTGTCGGAGAGGTATCTATGGGCCCTCTCGGTAATGCACATCACTATAAGCCTTGCAAGCAATGTGACTAATGATTTAGTTGCGGGATGATGCATTACGGAACGAGTAAAGAGACTTTCCGGTAATGAGATTGAACCAGGTATTGAGATACCGACTATCGAATCTCGGGCAAGTAACATACCGATGACAAAGGGAACAACATATGTTGTTATGCAGTTTGACCGGTAAAGATCTTTGTAGAATATGTAGGAGCCAATATGAGCATCCAGGTTCCACTATTGGTTATTGGCCGGAGACGTGTCTCGGTCATGTCTACATAGTTCTCGAACCCGTAGGGTCCGCACGCTTAACGTTT